CAAATGAACTCTTCCAGCTTTGCATCTATTTGTTGAAGCATCTGAATTGGTGTTCCATCAATTCCTGGAGCCTTCTTTACACTGTTATGGCCTTATTGACATAGTAGAGTCCTTATTCTCATATAGGGTTACATCCACAAGAATAGATATTAGGAATTACAACACATATTTTTGGGGAACACTATTAAATCCATAACACCATCCCACTGGTGCTTAAACTTCTCTCCCCTCCCAGTTATCCCAGTCACTAGAGGCTCTCCACCCCTCCTTATTTCCCTCATACCTTTCCTTACACTTCCAATAACTTCTGTCTCCTTTTTCTCCTCTGCCCTTGGTCTTTCCTCTTAAGTACATGACTATCTCCCACATGTACACTGAGATTGGAGTTAAGCTTGAATTTCCCCTCAGCTAGATCTGCTTCTTGACTTTTACAATGTGTGCAAAACTGCATTAGGCACCTGAGAAATACACACACACATGCACATATGCACACACATAGACAGATGCACATGCACACACATGCATACATATTATTGCTTTCACACACAACAACCATCCAAGATTTTCAGATGAGGGCATGGGGGTTGAAGAGATTAAAAAATTAACTCAAGTTGATAACACATGTGAGTGGGCCCTGAAATTCACACTAAGTCTTCCTGATTCCAAAGTCGAGGTGTTATGCACCCAGCCTCTTTCATGGAGAAAGGACAAGTTAGATCAACTGATGTGCAGCTAGTGCCCTGTGAATGAATTGTTTGTATAGAGTACTTTAAAATTTACTGTGGAGAATAAAAAGTCTGCAGTGAGAATAATTGGGTTGTCTCTTTGCTCTTGGAACCAATCCCTTTATCTAGATGTGATGGTGGGTTGATTTGGGTAAGACCCACCTGGAAGGAAGAATAGACATTCTAACATATATTGTAAAAATGTCTGTGCATTTGGGTGTCCTTGAGCACATACAGTAGTTCTCATAGTGCATTGGTTAAAACAGTTGACTGCTAACCAAAAAGTCAGTGGTTTGAACCCACTAGATACTCTGTGGGAGAAAGATGAGGCAATTTGCTTCTATAAAGATCTACAGCCTTGGAAAACATATTGGGCAGTTCTCTGTCCTATAGGGTCTCTATGACTCAGAATCAACTTGATGGCGGTGGGTTGGAGCACATGCAAGGAGCCTTGGTGGCACAATGGTTAAAACACTGGCTGCTAACTGAAAGGCTGATGGTTTGAACCCATTTTCATAGAAGAAATATGTAGCAGTATGCTTTTGTAAAGATTACAGCCTTGGAAACCCCATACTGCAGTTCTATTCTTCCTGCAGGATCACTATTAGTTGCAATTAACTCGACGGCAATGCCTTTGAGCACGTGCAGTTACTTAACTGTGTTCTCTACCATAGTGAAAAGAGTTTAGGATTGTAGCACTTTGAATGCTTATCCAGATCCACAAATGGAAGGGACTCTGGTGCATATAGAATTTGTGTCCTCAAATGAAACAAGTATTTTACAAATAGAGCACTCCTTTCAATTTTGTTTCCGATTTTCATCAGGTATGCAATAATTATGGAATTTCTCTGATTTTAACTCATGTCGGTGTCCAACAAGAGCTTTTGCCAACTGCTTTCCCCACTATTTTGTTATTAATTTTTATTCATCTCTTAGGAAAATAGTTGTTGTTAGCTGCTATTGAGTTGGCCCCAACTCTTAGCAATCCCATGATCAGTTGCAGATCATACAATTATGATCTATAGGGTTTTCATTGGCTAATTTTCAGAGATAGATCACCAGATCACTTTTTTCTAGTCTATCTTAGTCTGGAAGGTTGAAACCTGTTCAGTATCACAGCAACACTGAAGCCTCCATTCACAGACAGGTGGTGGCTGCACATGACGTGCAGAACCCTAGACTCCCACATGGAAGATGAGAATTCTATCACTAAAATAGTTATTGTTAGTTGCCATTGAGTTGTCTCTAACTCATGATGACCTCATATATAACAGAATAAAACATTACCTGGTCCTACACCATTCTCACAATCTTGGGTATGTTTAATCCCATTGTTACAGTCACCATGTCAGTCCATCTTACAGAGGGTTGCCTTCATTTTTGCTGATCTTCTACTTTACTAAACATGATATCCTTTTCTAGTGATTCATCTTTCTTAATGATATGACCAAAGTAAAAACACCCTTCAAGTATTTAAATTGAGGAAGGATACCTAGAGTTATTTTTCTGAGGCCTTAAATATTAAAAATATCTTTCTGGTGTCTTTACATATTTGTGATGAGCAAAAATCCAAGACTGTAAACTTCTGCTTCAGACTATCTAGTTTTGGCTTACTGTCTTCTAGTTTTAACATGGCATGGGAAAACCTGCCAATTAGAGGTGGTTTCTTTCATGATAATAATAGTTTGATATTATTATTTTAGTCTATACACACAAAAGATTCATTACTCTTGATATTCAAAAATATCTTGAGAGGGAGTGTATCCGGGAACATGTATAGGGTTGGCAGACAATGGTCCTATAAGTTTATGTGAATGATCAGAATCCCCAGGTGTATAATAGAGGTGACACTGTTTGGTCACAGCCAGCTACCCAGAGGGACCAAGTAGTTGAACTTGTGGGCTTGGGACCATAGTCGCAGAGGACGTTAAGCTCAATTGGCATAACATACTACACAAAATATTGTTCCACCTCCTACTTTGGCGAGTAGTGACTGGAATCTTAAAAGCTAGCAAGCTGCCATCTAGATGCAATGATGGGTCTCTCCTTGTTCAGAGCAAAGAAGAATGAAGAAAATAAAAATTCATGTAAACAATTAGTCCTAGTGACTGGTACACCATCTGATCTGCAGCCTATGTGACTATAAGACTAGAAGAACTAGATGGTGTCCGGCTACTACTGTAATCCACTTGGAAGGGGATCTATGTAGGAGATCCTTAATAGAGATGGAGAACAATGTGGAACAAAACTCAAAATCATTTGGAGGAAATAAAAAAACAGGTGGGGACCAGGTTTGCTGGTCCAATAGAGCCTGGGGGAATCACTGAGACTATGGCCCCTAACTGCCCTTCAGGTCTGGGATTGAACCCACACCTGTGGTTTCCAGCCAAGCAAAATACAGGCATATGAGTTAAACATTTACCTCAAGTAGATACATTCCTTGGAGAGAACAATCTTAGGAGAAAGAAGTGCTGCTTATGCACAGGGAGACAGCTCAGGGGGCAGGAGTGTATGGAGGGATGAACACTGTAAAGAGGTAACTATGGGGAGGAAGTGGGAGGGGAGCTGTTGCATTGTGGTAAACTGTGGTCAATGACATGAGATAAAGTATATGTGTACTGCTGTATAGAAAGTGAATTGCTCTGTAAATCTTCACCCAAATCACAATTTAAAAAAAAAAGAAAATTGAAAAAAAAAATATCTCGAGAACATGCTTAGGGATAGATCTTGGTTCAATAATTCTGCTTTTGTTTTCTTCTAATCACTAGACTTACTTTTACTGTTGTTTGATTTCTTTTTGTTTTGGGCTTTCTTATATACGTACTTTGTAAACCTTAATGATTGATGCCTCTCTGCTTCTTTCTTCTTCTCCTTTTCTCCATTTGATCTTCTTTTCCCTTTCTCTTTCCTTCCACTACTGAGAATCAAGCTTTAGCTAGCACTCATTGCTGACAGCCACCAGAATTTATGTCAACCCGCAGACTTACTATATAAGTAACAAAGCAGCTCTACTTTCTCTTCTAGGGAATTTGGCATTTTCCTTTGTATTGCAGAGGAAAAAATCTCATTAATTTTTAAACAAATGTATGCAAATACATTTATTAATATAGGAAATAGGAAAATCAGTTATTGCTTCCTTTATAAATAATACACGCTTAAGTTTTAAAGATATTACTTTTGCTAAAATGCGTTAGACAGCTGTGAAAAAAATAACATTTTTCTTTGTGGTAATATCTTTAACCAGATTTGTAGCACTAACAATATTTCCTATGTATATATTATTTTTATTTAATACAGGTAATCTTTTTATTACCAAATCATATTGCTTCTCAGGAGATTACCATCAGCACTCATAAAAGCTGCAAAAGGAAGAAAGGACAATGAGAAGGCATCAATCTCCAGCAGACGAAATGCTCTGTCTGCAGATTAAATACACAGAGCTCTTAATATGCTTCAATGAGTGCCTCGTTAGGTATAGATTTATTTAGACTCATTTGACTTCCATTTCAATTTGAATTTGTTGGTGGACATCATCACCTAGTTTCAACCAAGAGCAAAGCAATGTTGGAGAAAACCCACATGTTTAAGCTTCCCATGCATTGAGTTTTGTTGAGAACCCAAAGGTAGAAAATGACCTAAGGATCTCACTTGATCCTCTGTCTCACCAGGAAAATTATTGGTCAGGCCTTTCCCAGTAGGATTCCCAAGTGTGGCCACCTCATGTGTGTGGCATCCTCTCCCCTCTTAGAAATAGTTGAATCCCTATGGCCACACACAATAGATGAAGTTTGCCTAGATCCATTTACATCTGAACTTGCTTTATCCCATAATTCCCATGGTAAGCTGGTACAAAGGCCAAAACATGGCTTTGGAGTTTCCTCAGTGGGTCTGATCCTAGGTCTGCCATTTATTGCCTTGACCACTAAACTTCCAGGAACTTCAGTTTTCTCCTCTGCAAAATGGAAACAGCAGTTCCTACCTAATGCAACCACTGTCAGGATTAAAAGATATTATTTATGCATTATGATGTAAGTTTCAGAGAGTAATTAAGTAAATAAATGCATGAAGTAATGATCTCACACATGCATGGATTGATAGATGAGTATGTAAATGAGTAAATAATTATATGTTTATGAAAGTATAACCCTCTGTAAAAATGGCACAAGGAATGGATAAATGAATGGATGGATAAACAAATGCCCATGCAAACTATGCTCGTCCAGTCTGAGGGCTCAAGCCCATGCTGATAATCATCCTAGCTCCTTTTCCTCACAGGGTGGAAGCTTTGATGTGGCAGATAGAATGTTCCATAGTGTGAAAAATGCATGGGAGTCTGCCTCCAGAGAGAACATGAGTGACGTCAGGGAACTGACCCCAGAGTTCTTCTACCTGCCTGAGTTCCTAACAAACTGTAATGCAGTGGAGTTTGGTAAGTGGATGGCCTGGGTGAGGCTAGGATTGTTGTTGTTGTTATGTGCCGTCGAGTCGGCCCCGACTCATAGCGACCCCTCCTTGGGTTTCCGAGGCAGTATCACTACGGAAGTAGGATTGCCCAACCTTCCTTCCGAGGAGTGGCTGGTGGGTTTGAACCACCAGCCTTCTGGTTAGCAGTCAAGTGCTTTAGCCACTATGCTACCAGAGCTCCTGAGGCTAGGATAGGGCAGGTAAATATCAGGCCTCTTCCTCTATCAGCTTTCTGTCAACCTTACTGATGCCTTTGCTAAACAAATCAGCAGATAGGCCTCTCAGAGGATCAAATGCAGTTGATGTGAGGCTACCTCTGAGTGGTAGCACCAAGATGGAAAGCCAGAGCTGTAGAAGGACACCAGACCCCAGGACACTAGAAGAACTCTCAGTCATGGTACCCCAATGATCTTTCTTCTGAGTGTTCCTAGGCTCAAGGTCTGCATCAAACAAGTGGCCAGCAAGAAAGGACATTGCTAATAGCTCAGTCTGATGCTGCCCTGCTGTGTGACTTTGGGCAAGTCTCTGCCCTTTTCTGGGCCCTATTTTCCTCCAGGATAAAGCAAAGAGGAGTTAGTCTGGACTCTGAGAAGAGCATGGAAAGCAGGCTTTCTTAAAGCGTAATGCTGCGTGGCACCCAAGGAGAGTTGTGAAAACACAGATGGGCTCCTCCTCTTTCCTGTACTTCAGGCCCAACTGAGGGGTGAGCTATGATTTGCTGGTGCTTTAGAAGAGGAACAGAAAAAGACCAGGAAGTCATAGCGGCAGGTTTGCTAGTAACTATGTGGCCACCTTGGGAGTCTCCACTGAAAATATCTGTGAGACCAAGTCAGGGTGACTCATGAGTGTGGCTGGAGCCTGGGGCAGGGGTTGGACAAACTCTCTATCTGGAGGCAGGAGGCAGTCTCAGGCATTGGCCTGGGAGGAAATGAGCCTCATCACCCAGAGCTCCCCCTCCTTCGGTAGCTCCTTCCTCTCTCAAACAGAACACAGAGTCATGCTCCCTGAGCCAGCCATAGCATTCTTGTTGAACCAAGATTTTTAGCCCTGGACACATGGAGTGTTTAAAACAGATGCATTCCCTGCCAAGCCCCTGCCCAATGAATCTGATTCCAAGATCTTGGCCAGGCTGCCTTTGGGAGTGTCCATATCCTCAGATGTCTCATTTGTATCAAGGATGAGAGCTAGACAAATATAAAAGGACAGTTACCACAATATGTGGTCAGCACCATGAAAGAAGTAATTCAGAAACCCTGGAAGCCAAGAGGAGGGGCAGCTCACTAGCTTGGTGGATCAGGAAAAGTTCCAGAGGAAAAGACACATGAGTTTGGAAGTTAAGTTGGGGTTATCTCTGGAAAAGATGAGTGGCATAGCTGTGAAATGACAGCACATACAGAGAATGGAGGTTATTCAGGCATTCAGGAGAGATTTGATGACCACTTATGATGTACTTGGCATAGAAGTTAACAACACTGATATGGGTTCTGTTCTCATGGGATTTATAGATTAGAAGGGAAAACACAAAAAAGCAAGTAAGCAAACAGAAAAGGTTCTTTGTACTAAAATAAAGGATGTTGATTATTATATTTGTAAATAATCTAGAAAGGAACTATGGTGGAGCAGTGATTAAGCACTCAGCTGCTAACTGAAAGGTCAGCAATTTGAACCCACTAGCACTTGACTGCTAACCAGAAGGCTGGTGGTTCAAACCCACCAGCCACTCCTCAGAAGGAAGATGGAGCAATCTACTTCCGTAGTGATACTGCCTCGGAAACCCAAGGAAGGGTCACTATGAGTCAGGTCTGACTCAACAGCACCTAACAACAACAACAGCTGCTCTGAAGAAGAAAGGTGCGGCAGTTCACTCTTGTGAAGATTTTCTGTCTTGGAAATTCTTTGGGGAAGTTCTATTTTGCCCTTTAGGGTTGCTTTGAGTCAGAATTGCCTTGATGGCAGTGGGTTTGGTTTTTTGGTTTGATTTTTTATTTAAATAATCTAGCTGATGTTTAAAACTTTTATTTCCTCCTTCATTTATTTATTCAACAAAACTGAATGATACAAGCACCCAGATGAGCAGACATTGCACAGTGGGAGGAAGCTATACAAACAGTGATGATACTATGATATTAAACTATAATAGTTTTTTATAAATAGTGAGTCAAGAATTAACACTTCCTGGGAAGCAAGGAGGGTGAGGCAATGACATAACCGCTGAATAAGGGTGTTCCAGGGAGATGAACATGGATCTTACAGGCAGCATGGATGTTCTGGCCTGAGCAGTGTGACCCGAGCAGAACACAGCTCACACTCTGATCTGATCTGTTACTCAGCTGTCCTGGACAGCACGGTGTTTGCATCTCCTAATTCCCAGATAACTCATGCTTCCATTTATCAAAAGCCATACTGTTTCTCATCCCACTCAGGCTGCATGCAGGATGGGACAGTGCTAGGGGATGTGCAGCTCCCTCCCTGGGCTGATGGAGACCCTCGGAAATTCATCAGCCTGCATAGACAGGTGAGTCAAACTGGGTCATTCTGGAGCCCCTGGTCCAAGAGAAGGTGTCCCGATATGAACCTCAGTCTCACCTAAATCCCCATGGAAGCTTTCTATGTAAATGGAGGGTTCATGACAAGCACTTTTCAGGCCCTTGTGACTGTAGAGCTTAGAAATGTGACTAGAGTCTGTTCCTTAGCTGTCAGGCTTGGGTCTGGACTCTTTCAAGATCTCCATAAGGTTTGCCTTTGAGCCGGTTTATTGTGGGAATCATTGAGTAAGGCAAGATTATATTCTTCTTGGATCTCCTGGAGGACAAGTTAGTGCCATAGCCAACTCTATATACCAGGCCACTCCATCCTGCCAAGGATAGACCAAAGAGGGGTTGGAGGTCCTGAGAGGCTTCTACTGGCCAAAGATTTTGGCAAGACTGGGGAGGACTTGGCTTTTAACCCATGAAAGCAGAGGTTTTTTTGGGACATTTATTCTGGATCAAATACCTGGGTTAGGTAAGATAAGCACATGAAAAGATGTTCAGCATCATTAGTCCTTATCAAAATATACATTAAAACCACAATGAAATACAACTAAACATCCACAAGAATGGCTAAAATTAAAAGACTGGTAAAATCAAGTATTGGTAAAAATGTGGAGCAATTGGAATTTTTCATACATTACTGGTGGTAAGAGCAAAATAGTGCAGCCATCTCTCAAAAACAATTTGGTAATTTCTTACACAGTTAAAGATACATTTGCATATCACCCAGTGATTCCACTTCTAGATATTTATCCAAAATAAATGAAAATATATCCACATAAAGAAGTTTTACACAAGGATTCATCAGTTTTAGTCATACTAGTCAAAAATTAAATAATAATAATAATAAAAATGTTCAGCAACTGGTGAATGGAAAGATAAATGAATGGTGCATCTACATGCAGCATTGGAATACTACTCTGTAATAAAATGAACAAATTAATGATACACAAAGCATCATGGCTGAATCTCAAAAGCATTATCCTAAGCAAAAGAAGCTCTAAACAAAAGCTACATTATACATGATATCATTTATGTGACAGTCTAGAAAAGGTAAAACTGTAGGGATAGAAAACAGATTAGTGGTTACTAATGACCCCTCCTTGGGTTTCCGAGGCAGTATCACTACGGAAGTAGGATTGCCCAACCTTCCTTCCACTCCTCGGAAGGAAGGTTGGGCAATCCTACTTCCGTAGTGATACTGCCTCGGAAACCCAAGGAGGGGTCGCTATGAGTCGGGGCCGACTCGACGGCACATAACAACAACAACAACAACAATGCAATTATCAGGACACATTGAACTGTACATTTAAAGATGGAGTACTTTTTAGATACAAATTATACCTATGAAGAAAAGAAAAAATAAGGGTGGGGCAAATATAAAAAATGACAAGAAACCTGTGACTTTTTCTCTGTCCATTCCCTATGCAAGGAGAAAATTCTTCCTTTACTTATTTTTGCCCTGACAACAGTTATTCCTACCACATGCCAGTGGTCTTGAATATGTAGGCGAAGATGAACTTGACCTCCAGGCAATAGAACTCTACTGAAGATGTTCTGAGAAAGATTCACCCTAGGCCTGGAATATCTAGGCAAGCCTCACTGCAAGTACCTATGAGCTACTTGAAGAAATAGACTAATAAAATGTTGTTGTTGTTGTTATTTGCCATCAAGTTGGCCCTGACTCATAGCGACCCCTCCTTGGGTTTCCGAGGCAGTATCACTACGGAAGTAGGATTGCCCAACCTTCAGACTAATAAAATACCACTCCCAAAATAATAGAGAAATTGAAACCAAGAAAGGTGCTACAAAAGAGGGACATATGATGCCATGAGAGACAGATTAGGGATGTATGTGATCTAGGGCAACTATATGGTGATGAGAACAGTGGCGAGAGTTCTTTTTGTGGAGTGAAGATAGTGAAATCCAGGCTGGAGTGTACAAAGAAATGAACAACTTATGTCAGTGAGAATGGTAGAGTAGGAATCTCCAAAAAACCTAGGCCTGCACTTGGGTTCTGATCCTTAGAAATGGGTGACATCTCCCAAGTGGAATAAGAAGTGTAGGCTCTGTCCCACATTATCTCTTGCACATGTGTGGCTACTGTTAAGAAATATTGCCAACCTAGGTGCCCTAATCTGAGTCAATGCCACCCCATCTGACTTGTATCTGGAGGATCAACCATGTTTGAACTACTTTACTAAACTCCTATTTCCTATTGCTTGCTATGTGCCATTAAGTCGACCCCCACTCATAGCGACCCTTCCTTGGGTTTACGAGGTGGTATTACTATGGAAGTAGATTGCCCAACCTTCTTTCTGAGGAGTGGCTGGTGGATTTGAACTGCCAGCCTTCTGGTTAGCAGTCAAGTGCCTTAGGCACTGCGCTACCAGAGCTCCTATTTCCTATTAGATGTCACCTTTAGTTATAAAAAGATATCCTTAGCTTCCAATGGGAGTCATTTTCCCAAGTCAGGGAAGGGTTAGGCCCCAAATGGAGGCAGTAAGCTCAGAGCAAGGCTCAGGGCTGAATCTGAAAATCTCCCATCCTCCCACCTGGGGACAGTGTGGCCTCATTGTATTTGGTTTCATTGTACATAAAATGTTCCTCAAGGTCATTATACACTAGCCCTTAGGTGTCCTGGATGGACAGAGGTTTCTCAGTGAGTGAAATTGACATTCCCTAGGATTCTATTCTTTCCCTTCCAGTGATGATATAGGAAGTGTCCCACACTAAATGTTAATAGTTTTCTAGGTATCTGAGTGAAGTAAGGAGTCCCTGGGTGCAAATTGTTAACATGCTTGGCTGCTAACCAAAAGGTTGGAAAGACAAATCCACCCAGAAGAACCTCAGAAGTAAGGCCTGGTGCTCTACTTCTGAAAAGCCTGTCACTGAAAACCCTATGGAGCACAGTTCTATTCTGACACACAAGGGGTCACCATGAGCCAGAATTGACTCAATGACAATTGGTTTGGTATTTGGGTTGAGTGAAGTGGGAGGCTGGATTTCCCTGGGAGGTTCTGAGGTCTGGCAATGGGGAGCTATGAAAGTAGGTTAGAAAACACACCCAAGCATGGCTCAGAAACAGAGTTAACTACACTTGTCAAGAAAAAAAAAAAAAAAAACTGTGTTAATGGAAGAGAAAGCAAATATAAAACACCAAACCATTGCTTGCTTCTTAACACATGCCTAGAGCCTGTTGTGCACCAGATATATACAAGACTCAGGCTTCACATAAACCCATGATTATTTCCACATTTTATAGATGCGGAAACTGAGTAGAGCTATTCAGAAACTTGAACTCAGATTCAAATTGAGGCAATCACTCCAGAGCTTGCTTCCCTAACCACTGCACTCAGTCTCACCTCCCCATACTCTATGGTCTGAATCAGCTCTCCCATTTTCTCATGTCAGATCTCATCAGAGATCCAAGGATTAATTTTCTTCCTGCCCACTTAGTTTATATAACACTCTCAGACCAACACTATTTAGATATTCTAAATTTCATGGTTATTTTCTGAGATGGATGAACAAGGATGGTGGGATGGGTTTTGCCATTAGGTGGAGCAAGAATTGGGGTGACCCTCTGTCAGCTAGCATGTCTCCCTGCTGGGACCCAGTCAAGTGAAGGGACCACCACTCTTCTTTCCCATGCAGAGCAGCATCCTGGAGTACATACCTCCTTGTAGTATGTGTGGAAGGAGCCCAAGCCTGGGAGAGACCTGTGATTTTCATGCTCTTGGGTCTTGGTTCCAGGCTCTGGAAAGTGACTTTGTCAGTGCCAACCTTCACCACTGGATAGACCTCATTTTTGGATACAAGCAGCAAGGCCCAGCTGCAGTGGACGCTGTTAACACCTTCCACCCCTACTTCTATGGTGAAAAGATGGACCTCAGCAGCATTGGAGATCCTCTGATCAAGAGCACAATCCTGGGCTTTATTAGCAACTTTGGACAAGTGCCCAAACAGGTACAGCATGTCACTTGTCTTGCTATCTAAACAAGTGTGTACAGCATGAATTTGGGGAGAGTATAATAACATTTTCTCCTGGGATAGGGGCAAGAGAGAAGACTGGAGAGGCAAAATATTCTCCAATTATATTGTTATGCCTTAAATGTTAGAGCTTAGCCTTCAATTACCACTTGATAATGATGAAGATGATGATATCATCAGTGGTAATGATAATATATGTGTTAAGCACTATGATATATGTTCTGTCACATATATGATAGGCACTATGATAAAAGTTCCCTACATGTTATTTACTTTATCATACATACATCTACACAAGGTTGATATGATAATCCAATGAGTTAAGACATATAAAGTACTTGAAATTATCTGATATATAATTAAAATCTGTTGCCATATAGTTGATTCTGACTCATGGCAATTCCATGTTGTAGTAGAACTGTTCTTCATAGGGTTTGCAATGATTGATTTTTTAGAAGTAGATTGTCAGACCTTTCTTCTGAGTTACCTACTAGTAGACTGGAACCTATCATCTTTCAGTTAACAGCCAAGTGCATTAACCATTTTCACAACATAGGGACTGTGAAATATGATTAAACCCACTTCTATTGAGTTGATTCTTACTCATAGAAACTCTATAGGACAGAGTGCAACTATCTCATAGGATTTCCAAGGCTCTAAATCTTGATGACAACAGACTGCTTCAACTTTCTCTCATGGTGCAGCTTGTAGGTTAAAATCACTGATCTTGTGTTTAGTACCTTAATGCCTTAACCACTGCCACCAGAACTCTGTGAAATATAATTAGCATTTAATAAATGTTACTTATTAGTGTGACTAATTCATTGAATACTCTTCTCAGTTCTGAGTATATGAATTATTCTGCCTTTTACATAGAAAACTGAGGCTCAGAGAGGTTCAATAATAATTGCACTATTAGCAAGAAAGAAGCAGAGCTCTAGTCCCATCTGGTTAGTGCCAAAGCCTGCACTACATTGCCATAGGTGTGAAGACACCTAAGTTCTAGACCTAGGCCCCTGGTGAAATTGCAAGTGTCTCACATGGGTCATTTGCTGCCATAAAGGTAGTCACTCAGTGATTGGAGGTTGTGCATTCCTGCTGACATCCTGATGAAAGTCTCTTACTCAACTGACCCCATCTACCATATTGTTCCCCAAACTTCGGTTTGTTGTGAAGATGTTTTATTCCTGCACATAGCCATCTTCATTCAGAAGCATGGCCCCACGGGTTATAGTTCCAGTCTGAGTAGTTAGGAGTCTTGCTGGGAGGTGAGTGTGTAAGCCCAGCCAATCCTTCTAGAGCAGTCCTGGGCCAGGTTCTTCCCTGTGGGGTTCTTCCCCACAGGTGCCCTGAAGAGCACAGCTCCTTTGCAACCTGACCTCAAATTGTGTGCTCAGATTTGGTCAATTCATGATGTAGGGACTGTGAGAGGGTATAAAGGAGACCTGAAGAATGGACAGCACAGACCAAGGTAGGCTTATCTAGGGCAGGCTTTGTGGAAAGAAGAGAATTTAGGAAAGGAGCTTAGGTAGCTTAAAGGTTTCATTTCTTTAATTTAAATATAAAGATAGAAATAAAACAATAAAACAACTCAAAGTATTGGCCACCACTATCCCTCTGTGCCATGTTTGAGTATTCACAGTCCTTGTCCATAAGCAAAAGTCTTTTTACATCAGTGCAATTTTGGGACACACACAAGTTTATATTTTGATTTTACTTAATGATACACCCTTTGCATTTCTTTAAAATATTTTTAAGAAGTCATCAGAGTTGCAATTCCCAAAGTGACCCAGTATGAAGACGTGAGTAAATTGCTCGAGAGAGCACTGTTCCATAAGGGGGCTGTGCCTGTGTAAAGCCTTTACAGGGGCTCAGCCTGAAGAAGCTGTAGTCAGACTCTGCCAGGATGAATGTCCTTTATTCAATGATCACTTAAAAAGTATTGTTGTGGTTTCTGTTTGGGTTAATAACCACCCAGTTTTACTAGTCCAGTGTTTGATCAAATACTGAGTGATGGGCCCAGGCTGCTCTGAGCACAGGCACAGAGCATAGGTGTGAGTCCTCTGGCTTCCCAGGAACCCCACCTCTGCCCTAGGTCTAGCAGGTCCAGCTCCTCTCTTCAGTGAGCCATGTGGGTGTCTCTGTCTGGGATCTGGGAAATGTTCCGATGGATGGAGAAAGCCACTGTTTGAGAAGAGGGAGCAGAGAGCTAGAGCGGTCAGCAGCTGCATTCTCTAGTACAGCAACAAGAACTCAGCCAGGTGCATGGGCTTCATGCTTTCCCCAGATATGCCAAAAGGCTAGCATTAGGGTCGATTGAGGCAGAGATCTGAGCAAATGAGGATAAGAAAGATCATTAATGAGGTTTGCCTGTATTCTTCAGAATATTTGAATGGATGCTTTGAAATAATTCTGTATTTATGGCTAGGTGGACAAGACTGCAGAGAGATTGTAAGGGAAGGGAAAAAATATGAGTAATAGTTTAAGCAAATGAAGAAACTTATGTGATCTAGGGATGGAAGAGAGCCCCTGTGACTCAGTGATAAGTAAGATGGCTTTCCCAAGTACAGAGATCCTAAACTAGGTCATCCTCTTCCTAACCAGCTTCAGGGAGGGGAAGGATACAACTTTGACCCAGAAGGCTATCTCTGCCAACTATGTGCTGTGTGACCTGGGGAAGGAGCTGCCTCTCTCTCAGCCTCAGATCCCTGTCTGTACTGTGTTTATGCTCCCTTCCCTCTGGACAAACCCCACCCAGTGAGCACTAAGAGTTACTATGCAGGAGGACTGCACACCAGGAGGACTCTTCTCCTGGGTGTTGGTCCCTTAATTATCTGTATGGTATGTATCTGTCCTCTTGCCCCTCCAGCTCTTCACCAAACCCCACCCAACCAGGACTGCCATAGGAAAGCCATCACCTGGAAAAGATGTGAATACACCCACAAGCCTTCTGGGCCATCCCCAGCCATTTTTCTACAGCCTACAGTCTCTGAAGCCCTTCCCAGTGACAGTCAAAGGTGAGAGCCTGACCTTGCTGGTTAGGTACCCTGTCCACAGGGTCGTCCCTTCGGTGAACTGGAGACTCATGAGCACAGACCTGAGGAAAGGGTTGCATTCTGATTTGGAATGGCTGTACCTTCAGTTGGGTAGGAATCTGGAGGCTTCTATTCTTGGAGGGACTTTAGGACCCACCTCTGTTGGAACAACTTCAACATGTCTGTCTCTCTCTCATACAAGTGCATGTGTGCATGTACACACACACACACATGCACACACAAACACAGACACACACACTTCTCATACCCAAAGACAAATGGGAAGCCTCCAAGTCTCCTGAGAGGTCCATCTATGCACCTTGGGTAATACCTATGGTTATGGTGGCTCCTCAGGATTTAGCAGGCTGTAGAGCCCTCAGTTCTGAGCATGGTTGCTAGGTCAGAAAGATTGTGTAAGTCCCAGCCCTACTGTGTCTTAGCTGTGTGACCCTGGGCAAGGAACTGAGGCTCTGTAAGCCTCTGGGCACCAGAATCGGGCAAAATGAGATCATCCACATGTAGTGCCCAGTACATGACCAACATTCTATAAACATTACTGATCTATGTCTTTCTGACTACAACTTCAGTGGCTTCATTAACTGCCACAAAGCAAAGAGAGACCCTAAAATGGCCAAAGGTCAACAGAAGAGGGTCCCTCCAGCCAGATGGGGGCAGTCACCCGTTGGGAGCAGAAGGGCTGGCAGGGCTTGCTCCCAGGGTCATGTATGTGAAGTCTGATGGCCATGTCACCCTGGGAAATACCACTTAGTGGGGATGAGCTGCTGATCCTAAGGAATATAAGGTCAAGCTTGTTGGAGAGAAGTTAGTTTGTCCTTTTCTTTCCTTGAATTTCCACATTGCACCCCAACCCTTCTGGTTATGGGGCTGTTATTCCAGGCTCTGGAACCATGCATCCATTTACCCCTGAGGTAGGTATCTCCAGATACATTTAAAACCTGAGGGAGTCAGGTATGGCCCTGCCATCTTTGAGCAGCAGTCAAGGGAGAGGACAAACTACATCAGTAGCAATACGAGAGCTCCAGTGCCAGTTCAGAATGACCAGGTACAGCTCTTAACTCACCCCCACCCCTGATGGTACTAGGTGACTCACTGAACCTTCCCTAGACTCAGTTTCCTCATTTGTAATGTGAGGAAAGCAGTACCCACATTTTCAGGCTTGTTGTGTCAGTGATATGAGGTAGTATCTATGACGGTGGCAAAAAGCCAGAGTGCGGACAGAAACCTTACAGATGCTGAAGTTGCCTGAGCGTGCTGGACACTGCTCTAAGGAACCCAGCTGTTCTTACTTTATAGGAGAGGGGATGCCCCATAGTCATACTTTTGGAGCTTGATCTCTGCATCCTGAGTAGGATGGTGTTAGGAGGATATTATTGTTTCTCCCACATCACTTGGCACAGGTCTGGGAAGAAGGAAACCATCCCCCACCATGTTGTGTGGGTTACTTCACAAAAGCAGGGCAGCCTCCATTTTTGGAGTCTCTCAGAGAACAGGCTCAGCTCTGGGTGCCCCACACACCTGCCCTCTCTGTCAATCCTCATACCAGCCCTGTGAGAAGGTGTCATCATATCCACAAAGGGGGCACAACCACAAGGCAAAGGGGCTTGCCTGAAAAAACAAAGGCTGTCTACTTGGGTCCTGGCTCCAGGAATGACTTTCAGAGAATGGAACTGGTGAAAGGGCAGGAGTGTTGATCTGCCGCAGGCCACCCTTGCATTTAGTGCAGGAGCAGCTGGCCTGGTCAAGGGTAAGAAGAATGGGGTCCTGTAAGGGTCCCTCTGGCTTTGTGCCACCTGCCCTGGCAACTCAGTCTCCTCTTCCTTTGCTGTCATAGGAGACAATGAGGACCTGTATGGCCACACATTCAATGTGGGTGCCCAAGTCAGTGGAGGAACCCAAGACCAAGAACTCTAAGGGGGGTAAAGGGCCTTTGGGGACATGACCCCTGGGAGGGGTTCATGCACCCCTGAGAAAGAGGTCCTAGTGAGCTGCCACTAGCCAAGGGAAGGGCTTGGTCAAGTTCAATCTGCCATTTCGAGGCTTCTGTCTCCTGGTTAGGGCCCAGCTAGAGTGGGTATGCATCTGGGCACATGAGTTCCACCATACTAACTGGCTATAGATATGTACCTCTTCTCTTTAGGCTCAGAATCCCCCAAGGGAGCCATTGGCCACATCATCTCTACTGAGAAGACCATCCTGGCTGTAGAGAAGAACAAGGTGCTGATGCCTAACCTCTGGAACAGGACCTTCAGTTGGGGCTTTGATGACTTCAGTTGCTGCCTGGGTACCTATGGCTCTGACAAGGTAAGATGGCTGCCAGGGGAAGAGGGCAGCCCTCAGGACCCTCGGTGCTTTTCTGGGTGGAGGCAGAGGTGGTAAGAGGATCCATAGCCCAAGGCAGGGACAGCTGCCCCATGCTCCACTTGCTCTATGTCGCTGTACCCAGCCCTATTCCTGAGACACACATGTGGCAAAGGCCTTTATCCCAAAGTCATGTTTCAATGAGTCACACCTACAAGTTAGCATTTAACACTCCCACTTCCAGAGAGTATCTTCTTGCTGGCTGGTTACGTGCTTACATCAAGTCCTCCCAGACTCTCACTTAGCCTGGGGGACATCCTGAGGGTTTTTCCTACCCAGTCCTCATCTAGAGAACAGATACCAAGCATTCCACAAGGCCCCATCTGGGTACCGTGTCCAGTGTTTCTGTAGTCCCCCACCCCCACATTGTCTCTGCCTGTCCAATGTGGTCCCTCTTTACCTCCCCAGCCTCCCCTAACACTTCCTACCTCTCAGCCCACCATATAACATCAGACCAGGTCCTGGCCCACTTAGTTCTTGCTCTTCCACACCTTCCCTATCATATTCAGGAGGCAGTCATCAAGACCAGACCTGATGCTACCTCATCCTGAGAGCCATCTCTGACCTCTCAAAAAAAACCAAACTCACAACCATCAAGTCAGTTCTGACTCTTAGTGACCCCCATTGGATTTCCAAGGCTGTAAATCTTTACAAAATTAGATTGCCCCATCTTCCTTCTGCAGAGAGGCTGGGGAGTTTGAACCACTGACCTTCTGGTTAGCAGCCAAATGCCTTATCCACTATGCCACCAGACCTCCCTACCCAGGCATGGGTTATATCACCAGAACCTGACCCAGTGCACACCAGGCAGGACAGTGGCCTGCACACTTGCTTGGGTCACTCTGTCCTGCTCCACCTGTCCCCACAGGTCCTGATGAAGTTTGAGAACCTGGCTGTGTGGGGCCGCTGCCTGTGTGCTGTGTGCCCATCTGCCACGATGGTCGTCACCTCAGGAACCAGCACTGTGGTGTGTGTGTGGGAGCTCTGCATGGTCAAAGGCCAGGCCAAAGGCTTGCGCCTTAGGCAGGTACGGCACTTGGTCAAAGGAGAGTAGTGAGGGCCAAAGGGCAGGCACACATAGGCTTGGAGAGGGCTGGGGGACACTGCCTTCATTCTTTGACAAGAACACAGAGCAGGTGTCTCTCCCAAGATGAGAGATTCCATGCCACCTTCAGCTGCTCCCTTACACGTGTGGGGGCCATGCACCATATAATATTTTTGAGTATTTGCCATGAGCTGAACTCATCTGTCAGTAATAGCTAAACATTGACCTGAGAATGGATTCCCTCATTGTACCCTCTCAGCCCAATAGGTTAACCTGTTGCCATCAAGTCAATTCTGACTCATAGTGAACCTGTAGGACAGAGTAGAACTACACTATAAAGTTTCCAAGGCTATAATCCTTACAGAAGCCAATTGCTACATCTTTCGCCCGTGGAGTGGCTAGTGAGTTTTAACCACCAATCTTTCAGTTAGCACCTAAGTGCTTAACTATTGCATTACTATGGCTCCTTTACCTTCTCAGTAGCCCTACAAAATAGATACTATTTTTATCCCTGCTTTATTAGTGAGGGAGGCACAAAGAAGGGAAGTGGCTCATCCAGGATCATATAACAGAAAATGAAAGACTGACTTAGAATGTAGGTAGGTGTGTAGCAATAGAACAAATGACAGATCAGGAGGCAAGGAACTCACTCTTGTCCTACCTCATGAAACACCACCTCTCCTGATAATAACCATAGTGGTACTTACTCTTTACTTAACCCTCAAAATGCTCCAGGGTCTCCCTGCACATTAATTTTGCACCTCATGCCCAGCCACCACTCATCTGTCAGTAAAAGTTTGAATGTTGCTATGATACTGAACTGATTTCAGCAGAGCTTCCAGACAAAGACATACTAGAAAGAAAGGCCTGGTGATTTATTTCCAAAAATCAACCAGTGAAAACCCTATGGATCACAACAGTCTGATCCACAAGCTATCCACAAACTATGGGGGTGACACAGGACCAGGCAGAGTTTTTTTTGTTTTGTTTTGTTTTGTTTTTAATTTTATTTTGATTTGGGTGAAGATTTACAGAGTAAATTCACTTTTCATACAGCAGTGCACATATAGTTTGTCTCATGTCATTGACCAAAATTTACAATGCAACAGCTCCCCTACCACTTCCTCCCCACAGTTACCTCTTCCCAGTGTCCATCCCTCCATACTCTTCTGCACCCTGAGCTATCTCCCTGTGCATAAGCAGCCCTTACTTCTCCCATGATTGTTCTCTCCAGGGCGTGTGTCTACTTGATGTAAATGTTTAACTCACATGCCTGTACTTTGGCTGGAAACCACAGGTGTG